GAGAGAGAGAGAGAGAGAGAGAGAGAGAGAGAGAGAGAGAGAGAGAGAGAGAGAGAGAGTTGCAAGTTGCCTACTCCATGCAGCACGAGGAGCGAAAGCGAAGGCAAAGGCAAAGGCCTTGATCGACCAATTTACTGTTGTTGCCGTACATTTTCCAAGTACTAGGCGATGCTGTACTAGACACAGCACCCTCAAATTTAATGTTCTAGCGAGTGCAGTGAAATCGATCATTGTCATTGGAAAATAGAAAACAAGATTTTGATCTGTCCTTACGCTTACTGAAGTAGGCAGTTTGATCGATCAGTTGAACATTGGACGACTCGGAACCTTTCCACCCTCAACCGACCCGCAAGAAACGAACGGCTGGCCCAAGTGGAAGCGCAAGTGGAAGAAGTGGAAGTCACACAGGAAGAAGAAGAAGAGAAGAAGAAGAAGAAGAAGGAGAAGAAGTCACTGGTCAGTTTTGGACAAGCCAAACTATTGCCCAATGTCCGCCAATTTTCCATGATCATAGAATGATAAACATTCTAAAGTCGCATGTAGCCAAGCGGAGCTGAGCCCAGCGGGATCGATGGAGGAGCGCTCAGCTGAGCCCGTGGAACCCTGCCAAGCTGAGCTGATAGGAGCCGAGACGAGCCCAGGGGAGCAACGTCAGAGCTCAGCCGCGCAGGAGAGTGAGCCTCCCCGGGGCTAGGTCCCACTTGCACAAATTAAGAGATATTGACCGTCCATAGCGAAGATCAACGGCCAAAATCTCCTAATCTGCGCAAGTGGGACCTTGCCCCCGGCCGGGCCGAGTGGGATCGCAATGGACCATAACAGAGAAAGCGAATGGGACAGTAAGGGCATCCCCACACCATTCTCGAAATGTGCAAAATGAGAACGAACTTCCCGCTAGAACATGGGCAGATGCCCCCGCCACAATTTTGTCTTTTGCACAAAGCGAGAGTGGTATGGCGGGGCGAGGTCCAACTCACCGTAGATCCTGCGGGATATCTGTATCTGTATCCCGATCGCCACGTCCTGCCGCCCAAGTGACGGGAAAGGCTATGGACCACAGATCGACTATCTATTTGCGGACTCCTAAACCGCCGGTACACGGCCCGAGGCCTTGCTGAACAAGTTTCGTGGCCTACTCCGAAAATTTGGCGCCTGGGCCCTACCCGAGCACAATGGCTGCGGGCGCCAGCCAAAAGAGGAAAAAAGTGTGCCCTTGCTGGTTTGGCAACCCTTGGCGCGCAGTGAAGAGCTTCCAGGGTGGGGTGTACTGGTGGTCTAAAGAGTCCCAGGGGGGCCTACAGATGCCAAAAACTGCTCCTTGGGGAGGCCCGAGTATAGTGGTGGTCTAAGGAGTTCCAGGGTGTACTGGTGGTCTAAGGAGTCCGAATGGGCTGGTGGTCTAAGGAATCCCAGCGGGCCCTACAGACGCCAAAAACTGCTTCCTGGGGAGGGCCGGGTGTACTGGTCATCTAAGGAGACCCAGGGTGTACTGGTGGTCTAAGGAGTCCCAGCGGGCCCTGCAGATGCCGAAAACTGCTCCTTGGGGAGGCCCGGGTGTACCGGTGGTCTAAGGAGTCCCAGTGGGCCCTACAGATGACAAAAACTGCTCCCTGGGCCTTACCCGATCACCACTTCGTGCCTGTGACACCCCAACCTCACACCCGGCGCGCCTTCCTGATCGGAGTGAGATGTGGGCCTGGAAGTGCGAAAAGGGGTGTGCCAAGGATTTTTGGAAAGTGGGGGTGGAGTCCCAGGTCGGAACTGAGATCACCGGTGGCAAGGTTCAGGGGCATAGATGCAATAGAGCAATGGAAAATTTACGGGCGCGGGCTTGCACGCTGGTTGTGCRGGGCCGTCCGAYCCTGACGMGATCGCCAGTTCTGGGGAGCCTGTCGAGGCGGTCCTTGGAGCCCACGCCTTCGGGGCCYGCCACGTGTCGTGGGTTGGTGGGAACTATGCMTAGGTGYCGAGGCKTCGGGGGTTCGGGTATGGGCAMGCYGCCTGCAGCTTCTGCACGGRGTGGAGGGCCAATAWGGTGCTATGGAATTCCACGGTACTACTGTAAGCTGATGATAGGGGASGAGGAGGTGGTATGGTGGGAAATTAGTGGCRATAAGGACGAAGCCGGGGGTTATGAAATACTGCRTGTTGTACGTGTTTGGGTAGTCGGGTCCCYRCGGGTCTCTTCGTACGRCGAGATGGAATTCCCTAGCGYAKAATCTATCGTTTTCTGTGAGGCAGGGGAACACCGGGTTCCTCAAACTTCCMCGTAATCGGAGTTGCTCYTCTTCCCAKATTTCCCGGTACCCRAAATAYGACTCGTAATCCTCGGAATTCCAAGRTACGTYSGAACTCCGCGAGATCGTCATTCTTTCATCACTCACGCCTTGGGGGATAAGTTAATCGGGGARATCACCGCTYGTAAGTGCGTAAGAGAGATGCGAACAAGTCGCACTTACGCGCACTTACGCGTGATGGGTAACCCRATCCCGATTGACATCGACTCCTACTTCAGYGAGGGGCTGGCTGCGCRCGTTAGCCAAGACGCGATTGGCGAGTCCRAGTGGTATGGACACATGYAAGYCGCGCTCCRTCCGGATCGCACTTGCATGTGCCCATATGGTACATCGGATGGTGCGCTCCAGACTCCCCGTAAGGTACGACAAGCCAACACACTCTATTGATCACGCCAACATGCAATCCCCATTTTCATTCATCATGTACGAGGGTTYGCAGGAAACGATMARAAACGAAAGGCGAGGGTGCGCGAAMCATCCATACATCATTTGCAAAAGAGGATTCCGGAGAAGGAAAGAAAAAGGAGAAAACATCGATGAAGAACCAAATTGAACAACAGGACGAGTATATGGCCGCAAAGACAAGGGCGAATTGCCCGTAATCGACACCAAAATTTATATACACAGATAAAAAAGGAACGAAAAGAAAAGCGCAAATTCATGTCCATCCTCAACCTCGACTCTCTCTCCTCTCTCTCTCTCTCTCTCTCTGATGCCGACAGTCCGTCGTCGCGCACCAACACATGAAGCCGTCACCCCGCTTGGTCCTCCTGCGCCCGTCAGGTTCGCTCCACGCCCACAGTCCGTCGTGGCCCGCGTCAACCCCGCGCATTTGGCACCAGCTCGTCGGGTCGCCCGACTCCCACTTCACTCACCTCTTACTGCGCTCGTGTGCCGACCCTCTCGATCGCGCAACCCCCGAGCTTCCAGCAACTGTTAAGAGAGCAAGTTAATCGCGCAGCCGGAATTTATAGCGTGCATGCATGCGCGAAGAACACGGAATTACAAGGACGTAGATAGATGGGGGAAAGGGAGTGCTTACGCTTGCATGGTCGGGCCGCGGCGTGGGGGACGTACSCAACTCCRMGCATCGATCCGAACATGCAAACGCGGCTACCCAGATAGGGAGGGGAGAGAGGAAGAAATGAGGCGGGAAGAATAAGGAGCAAGAAACAGAAAGATACAGTTACAAAAGTGTGCGCCCAAAATTACAGTTGCAAAAGGATTAAGGCGCCAATCAATCAAGGTCCTGGCGCAGCAGCAAGAAAGAGCGCGCGAACACGCAAAGCAGCGCCCCAGAAAAACAGAAATTCCAAAATTCCTAAATTCCTAGCTAGCCTTTCGATATTATGAAAAGGTCCGAAAAGAAAATCAAAATTTCGAAGGCCGTATGGCTCCGACCAAAGATTCGAAAAGAAAATTAAAAAAGGAAATTCAAAAAGGGACACCGAAATTCCCGCGCGATGTCTACGCGCCCAAAAGTCCGACAAAACAAAATTAAAAGAAGGGAAACGAAAGAAAAAAAGCGACGTCAATGTTTATTAATCGCGC